TTTTTGACTTTTAACTTGTTAAAGTTGGGCTCTGCTCCCTGGGCGGTGCAGATGCTGTCCCAAGCTTCAGGTTTTTGTGCTGCTGTTTTCAGAGCTAGTTCTGTGAGTCTGTAAGTTTTCAGTTCTTCCCAGGCGGTATGATCTAAGGAGAGGTGTGGTCACTGTGCTGTGGTCCATGAGCGACCACGAGCGCTTTTTTCTGTCCTGGAACTGCGATGAGGGTCCCTGCTTCCTAAACCTGGGGCTGTGACCAGAACCTGCCCCCATCATGGATTGGAGAGGGGTCAGCCGGAGGTGCCTCATTAGCACCCTTCGGGGATGAGGAGATTTGAGGCTTGGCCTGGGGAGGTGGCAGTGGGGGTCAGGCAGGACGTCATTTTAGTTCAGCCAGCATCTGTTATTGCTGTGTGCCAGGCCCTATGCTGGGCACTAGGCATATGAGGCGAGCCTTCAGAAGGCTCATGTTTGTGAACTCCATGGCCCACAGCTAGAAGGGCCAGCTCCCGTCATTTTACAGATGAAGAGACTGAGGCTTAGAGGATTGGCTGGCCTGAGGGAGCGTCAGCAGGTCCTCAGCCCAGGTGTTAAGGTACGTCCTGCTGTGTTGAGAGAGTCGGAGGGTTTCTGGAGGGTTTCTGGCCGGCCAGGCCTGTGAGCAGCGGGACATGCGTGTCCAATAGGTCACCGAGTTGGGGAGAGAGGTCAGGCTTGGGGTTATCTAGAGCGGAAATGCCTCCTTACCTGGAATGAAGGCTGCCTCCTCTTCCTGGGGGCAGTGTTGCTAGGGAGGGTGTGGACAAGCTGGACACCTCCCAGAGGAGGCCAGGCACACGCAGCCTGCCCTCTGAAAGGCTCAAACAAGAGCTGTCCACGGGACGTCTCTGAGTGGAACAGACTAAATCTCAAGAGGTTAAGCACCCAGGAATTCAGTGGCAGCTCATGGGGAGGGGGGACCTCATAGGATATGGGAGTGGGGGAAACCTGTTGGGGATGGGGGGAGGGAGGACCTTGCCGGGATGGGGGAGGGGAGACCTTGCTGAGGATATGGGGAAGAAGGACCCTGCCAGAATGGGGGAGGGGGGACTCTACTGGATATGGGGGGAGAACCCTGCCAGGATGGGGGAGGAGGGACTCTACTGGGGATGGGGGGAGGGGGAGAACCCTGCCAGGATTGGGGGGAGGGAGAACCCTGCAGCTGCTGCTCCTGAGGGGGGCAGAGGGAGCAGTGTGTACCCCCCACCTCACCCTGGGGGCCCAGAGGCCTCCGCTCAGCAGCCCTCCTCCCTCCTCTGCTGACATGACTCAGTGTACGTGTAGTCATGTCTTGTGTTCACGTTCTTGCCTCAGACCATTCAAACATTCACTGGCTGAGGGCAGGGCCTGACTTGTTTTTGGCCAGCAGGGTAGGTGCTTCACTAGTGTTTGCTGAGGTATCCCCAGTGTAAGGAATGGCAGCACCCTGAGGGCAGGGCCTGGCCTTGGGTTTGGGGTTCTCAAAGTTGCCCTGATCCTGAGAATCCCCTGAGGAGGAGGCCTGGAGATAGGTATTGGGGGGGGGCAGGGACCCTGGCACTGCCAGCTTGTATCTCTGTGGCCTGCCCTATAGAATGTGAGCCCCCTGAGGGCAGGGCTGCTTCCTGCTTTCTTTGTACATCCATCACAGAGCCTGGAACCTGGTGAACATTTAAGAAGTTTGTTAATTGGCTGAGTGACAAAGGCCTGCCCTCAGGGAGCTGACATTCTTGCAGAGGAGTGTGATCACTCCCATGATCTTGAATGGCCTCCCTAAGGGGTAGCATCCCTGGAGGCAGAGGTGGGGGCAGGGTACCTCGCCCGGCAAAGGCTGGGCGTCTCAGGAAATAAGAGCATTTGTCTGGAAGGAGGGCAGGTAGGCCTACAGCCTGGGCTCTGAGTGTCAGAGGAAGAGGGATGTGGGCCTCCTTGGGCGTCGGGCATTTGCTTCTGGGGCCTAGTCAGGGAAGGACGAGCAGGAGGGTGGTGAGCACTGAGTCCATTCCATCTGAAGATGGGGTGTAAGAATATGGACGAGTCCAGGCTGGAGAAGAGCAGGAGCCCTGAGAACGGAACTGAGAGTGCAGGGAGGGTTTTGAGGAGCACTTGGGAGATGGGGTGGCCTAGCTGGGTCTTGGCCCCCTCCCTAGGGATGGGAACCCAGGAAGGGTCCAGGATCTGAGGCTCCAGGACAGACTGGCAGCCAGCCAATGGACATTGGGCTGTGAAGACCACTTTCCACAGCTCTGGTCTTGTCCTGTTTTCTCCACCTCCCTTCCCAAGATGCTGCGCAATCTGAGATAGGCTCTACATACACATTCCTATTAAACATATTTTCACATTAGTCATGTTGTAAAGAAGAATTAGAACCAATAAGAGGAACCACCAGAAAGAGGAAACGGAACAAACAGAAGATTAAAAAAAAGAGCCAATAGTCTGCTTCGATCTCCATTCAGACTCCGTAGTTCTTTCTCTGGATGCGGATGGCACTTTCCATCATGAGGCCTTTGGAGATGTCTTAGATCCTTGCATTGCTGAGAAGGGTTCAGTCTGTCAATATTAGTCATTGCAGAGTTGTTTTGATTTGAACTTCTCTAATCATGAGTGATTTAGAGCATTTTTTCATATGACCAGATAGCATTAATTTCACCTGAGAACTGCCTGTTCATGTCCTTTGTCCATTTATCAATTGAGGATGACTTGTACTCTTATAAATTTGACTTCGTTCTCTCTATATTTGAGAAATGCGGCGCTCTTCAGAGACACTGGTTGTAAACATTCTTTCCTAGTTTCCTGCTTCTCTTCTAATCGTGGCTGCATTGGTTTTGTTTGTGCAAAACCTTTTCAATTTGATGTACCCAGAATGATCCATTTTACATCCCTCAGCCCTCCGTCTCTCTTTTCTGGTCCTAAATTCTTCCCTTGTGCACAGACTGCCAGGTAGACTATTCTGTGCTCTCCTAATTTGCTTAGGTTTAAATCACGTACCCCGTTTGACCTTGTCTGGTACGTGGTATGAGATGTTGGTCTATGCCTAGTTTCTGCCAAACTGCTTTCCAGTTTTCCTAGCCGCTTTTATCAAAAGCGAGTTTTTGTCTGAACAAGCTGGCGTCTTTGGGTTTATCAGACACTAGATTACTATGGTCATTGACTGCTGTGTCTTGTGTACCTCATCTGTTCCGCGGATCCACTGCTCTGTTTCTTAGCCAGTACCAGATTGTTTTCCTGATTACTGTTTTATAATACGCTTTGAGATCTGGCACTAGTGGGCCCCCTTCCTTCACTTTCTTTTTTTATGGATTTCCTGGATAGTCTTGACCTTTTGTCCTGTCTTGTTCTTTTCTTTTTCTTTTTTTTTGGCTTTTAGGCACTTGGGGTTAAGTGACTTGCCCAGGGTCACACACAGCTAGTAAGTGTCAGGTGTTTGGTCTGAGGCCAGATTTGAACTCAGGTCTTCCTGACTTCAGGGCAGGTGCTTTATCCACTGCACCACCTAGCTGCCCCTATTTCAGATGAGTTTTGTTGTTTTTTTTCTAGCCCTAGAAAATAATTTTTTGGTAGGTTGATTGGTATGGCACTAAATAAATAAATTTAGGCAGGAATGTCTCTTTTATTCTATTGGCTCAGCCTATCCATGAGCAATTAATGTTTTTCCAGTTGTTTAGATCTGGCTTTATTTGTGTGAAAAGTGTTTTGTAATTCTGTTTATATAGTTCCTGGGTTTGTCTTGGCTGGGAGACTCCCAAGTCTTCTACATTGTCCACAGTTATTTATTTATTTATTTTTTTGAAGGCAGTTGGGGTTAAATGACTCACCCAGGGTCACACAGCTAGTAAGTGTCAAGTGTCTGAGGCCAGATTTGAACTCAGGTCCTCCTGACTCCAGGACTGGTGCTTTCTTCACTGCGCCACCTAGCTGCCCCCCCACAGTTATTTTAAATGGAATTTCTCTTTAATTTAAATGTCTCTTGCTGCTGGGCTTTATTTTCTATCCTGCAACTTTGCTGAAGTTGTTACTTCATGTAGTTTTTGGTTGATTCTCTAGGGTTCTCTCCCCACACTGTGATCTCACCTGCAAAGAGCAGTGGCTTTGTCTCCCCATTGCCTATTCCACTTCCTCCCATTTCTTGTCCTTTTGTGGCCAGAGCGAACATTCCTAGCACAATATCTGGCTTATCTTTTCAAAGAACAAAAATCTTTTTCTCTCTGTCCCACTTGTGCCCTCCCCTCCCCACCCCTCCGAAAAGAAAGCCAAACAAAGCCCTTGAGAGCCTTCAGTGTAGACGTGTTCGGGGTTCCCAGTGTAACAATGACACAGAGATGAGCTGAAGATTGAGGTCTCGGCGCCTGAGGTTCACAAAGCCACTCTGCCTGTGAGGTGGAAGCCCAATTCTTATCTCCATTGTACAGATGAGGAAACTGAGACTCAAATCAGAGGCAGGAGAGCCCCCTTCCCCTCCCCCAGGGTCAGCCATGGAGAGCAGGAAGGGAGGAACCCAGATGGCATGCAGCCAAGCATGCCTCTTTTATAAAAGACAGAAAAATTAGGCCCAAGGACAAAGCATTTATTAAGCACCTGTGGTATGCCAGGCCCTGCTGAGAGCTGAGGGCATGTTCAGCAGGCATTTATTAAGCACCTGTGGTATGCCAGGCCCTGCTGAGAGCTGAGGGCATGTTCAACAGGCATTTATTAAGCACCTATAGTATGGCCTGGCTGGTACTTTGTGGTAACAGAGACAAAACCTAAATGATCCCTGCTCACTGGGAGCTTATGTTCTAATGGGGGAGATAATACCACACATGTATGTGATGTACGCGTGTTTGCGCTCTGCATGTAACAGTGCGCACACGCATGTGTCTTGTATGAATAGGAATGGCAGCCCAAGCAGTCATGGGGCAGGGGGGAGCAGGGGCAGACACCGGCCTGGTGGGGAGACCCCTAGGAAGTCGACTCGAGGTGCAAGCTCCTGAGCCTCCTGGTGGGCACAGGCCCTGCCCTCAGGCCCCTCTCCCTTCCAGGCTGGTGCAGCCGTCCAGCAGCCCTCTCTGGACAAAACTGCGTCTCAATGTCAAGTCATACCTCAACTCGGTCATCCAGGTACTGGGGGGGCAGAGGGCTGGAGGTCGGCTTCCCTCTGGTTTGGGCTGCCCCAGAGGAGGCCCCCGCCGCTCTCAGCTCTGCGCTGATGCCTCCTGTTCTCTGCTCGTAGCTGGTATCCTGCCTGACTGAGGCGTCCGTGGCCACTGCCGTCCTTCAGCACATCAGTGCCATCGTCCCTTATTATCTGACCTTCCCCAAGCAGTGCCGGCTGCTGCTCAGGGTGAGATCTGAGGGTCTGGGCGGCTGGGGGTCCGGAGCGCATGCTTTCCTTGGGCTGTGTTCTGGGGGGGTGCCTAAGGACAGTGCCCCTCATCAGAGGGGCTTTCCTTTGGCCAGCAAAGGTCACCTCTGTCCCAACAGGCAGCATTTAGTAGCTGCCTGAGGCCGGCCCGGAATAATTCAGGAGAGAAACTGTGCTGCTTCATCACATATGCATACTCCTCAAGCCGTGCTGAAAGATGCTTGGGATGGTGGGGGCTGCTGTGGGCTGGGGGAGGTGACGGGTCACTCCTGGCAGGCCCTGCCTCCCTGGGGAGCTCCTGGGGCAGCTGCTGTGCCCTCCCGTTCCCATAGCTCATCCATAATGCGTGACCCAGGCCTCCCGTCTCCTGCCATCCCACCGTCCCGGCCTCGTGCTGGATGGACGGACGCTGTGATTGCTCTGGGTGTGTTGACAGCTGGTGCATTAGAGCAGGGCTCTCAGGGGGTTTGGGGAGGAATATTTTATAGGGGCTGAGTCAGGCTGGCAGCAGAGAGCGATGGGGAGATAGAGGTGCCCTGGGGTGGGCGGGAGAGGGAGGTAGAGTCTGGGTGCGGGGGGGCTAACCCCCTCGTGGGATCTCGGGGGCCCCAGCAGCGGCTTTGGTGCAGATCGGGTAGGAAGGAGGAGCTCCCTCCCATCTAGGTCAGCACCTTTCAGACTGGAATCTGGGGTGAGGGGGAGTGGGGATGTGGGAGACAGCCAGGTTCTCTGCAGAAGTTTGGTCCTATGGGAGGCAAGCCTGGCCCCCATGGAGACGTACGTGCGTGCGTGTGCGTCTGTGTTGGGGTGGGGCTTCCTCTTGTGGACGTCTAGCAGGCAGAATGTGGGGATGGTGCCGGTTAGGCCTTCAGCCGGCAGAAGCTTTGTGCTAGCTCTGAGCGTCACTGTTATTAATTAGGATGGTTGTTCGGAGGGCGGGGAGGCAGACAGGGAGTTTTGTGGCTGGGAAATTGGACCACGCAGAGCAGGAGGAGGCTGGGGACTTCCAGGTGTCATCATTAACCACATCCTTGCCAGGTCCCCAAGCTGGCACCCCCCCCAGCCTTCCCACAGTGTCAGCTCTGCCAAGACACAAATGCAACCCCTGGGGCTGGTGAAAACCCTCAGCAGAGGGCATTGGCTGGGGGGTGGGCCTCACCTAGGCTCCCTCTCTCTCACAGAGGATGGTCGTGCTCTGGAGCACTGGGGAGGAGACAGTGCGGGTGCTGGCCTTCCTCGTCATCAACAAAGTCTGCCGCCACAAGAAGGACCCCTTCCTGAGCCCCATTCTCAAGGTGACTCCTCGGGGACCCTGAGCCTGCCACTCCCAGGAGCCTCGGCTCTGTCGGGGGGGCTTCACGGGATCACGGGTAGAAAGCTGGAAGGGAGCGTGGGGGGTGAAACTGAGGCTGGGGAAAACAGCCTGCCTGAGTCTGGCAGCCAGTTGGGGGCAGAGCTGGGCTGCCTCCCTGGCTCCCTCCCGGGCGGGAGCTGCCAGGGCCGGTTGCTCGCTGGGGGTGAGTCCTGCGGCCCTGGCTGGGGAGGGAGGGCGTTTGGACGTTCCCTCTGGCATCGGGTGCCCCGGGCTCTTCGGGGAGCTCCGGCGCCACAGACGTAGCCCCGTGTTTCCTATGGGTAAGCTGAGGGAAGGGAACCCAAGCTGTTGGGTGGGGGAGGGGGAGGATCTGAGGTCACACCGTGAGACTCGTGTAGTTTGGCAGTAGAAGGGCTGCTGCTGTGTGCAGCAGAAGCATCCTGGGGCGCTGGGCTTGGGTTCAAATTCTGTTTGTCACACACTTCCTCCTCCGTGAGATGGTGGAGTCACTGCCTGGCCCTGTGACCCTCTGCCCTCCTTCCCTATCAGCACATGTACATCTCCTATGTGAAGAACTCCAAGTTCACGTCCCCCAGCGCCCTCCCCACGATCAGCTTCATGCAGCGCACGCTGACGGAAATGTGTGCGCTGGACACTGGCCTGGCCTATCAGCACGCCTTCCTCTACATCCGCCAGCTTGCCATCCACCTGCGCAACGCCATGACCATGAGTAAGAAGGTACGGCTCCCACCCTCGGGGACCTCCCAGTCCCACCGAGAGGCTCTGGTGGCCTCCCGTCGTGCAGGATACGATTCGGTGTGGTCTCCCACCTCTGTCCCTCTGCCCAGGCTGCGACCCCGGGGGCCCTCCCCGCTCCCAGTGACTGACTGTGGGTTTACTTGGTGCTGGTCGGAAGATTGTGCCCCTCCCCAGAAGGAAGGCTCCAGGGGGCCAGGAGGGGCTCACGTTTGTCTGTCCAAGTGCCGGGCACGCAGCAGGCGCTTAATAAATGCTTGTTGGATTGGATTGAAGCACAAAAGGCAGCTCTGACCACCCCCATCACTCCCTTCTCTCCTCGGTCCCAGGAGACCTACCAGTCTGTTTACAACTGGCAGTACGTCCACTGCCTCTCCCTGTGGTGCCGCGTCCTGAGCACCGTCCACCCCAGCGAGGTCCTGGGGCCGCTCATCTACCCGCTGACCCAGATCATCATCGGCTGCATCAAGTACGCTCCGGGGGGCGGTGTGGCGGTCGGGGGACCTGGGGTAAACTGAGGCCTGGGGCGGGGCAGGGGCTTCCCCAGGGTCTCCATGCCAGAGACCTCCCTCGGCCTGTGCTCCCAGAGGAGCCAGTTTAGCGGCCAGAAAGTGGTCGGGACCCCTGGCCCAGGCTCCCAGCCCTGGTGTGTCTGTATGTGCATGTGTGAACGTGTGTACGTAAATGTGTGCATGCACATGTGTGCAACTGTATAGGTGTAAACAGGTATGTGTGTACACAGATGTGTGTAAATGTGTTTGTGGGCTTGTGCACAGGCATGTGTCATTGCGTGTGCCTGCGCATGAAGGTGTATGAGCGCTGGCCCTGTGCGGCCTTGCACGGGCTCAGCCCCTGAACTCAGGCCAGAACCCCCCCCCCTCCCCCCCAGCTCTCAGACTTGGCTTTTGACTCTGCTTTTATGTGCATATTCATGAAGCCATGTGGGCCCAGCTCTGCCTCTCCCAAAGCTCCTTCCCCTGGGCCTCAGGGGACAGTCTGTGGGGGGGGGGCGCTCCCGGCAACCTCTGCGCCTGAGCCTCAGTGTCCCCGTCTGAAAGTACATGGGCAGAAGCTCTAGGGCTGCCTCCATCAAAGCTCACCGCACAAGCCCACCTTGGGTGGCCTTATGTAGCAGGAGCCAAGGCAGTCCCTGCCCTCGAGCAGGTAGGAAAATGACACTCCGGGGCAGGAGACAGGCATAGAGGGGGGCTACCTTGGCCGAGGACACACCGGCCAGTGGATCATAGGATCAGAGATGAAAGAAGGTACTTGGGGCCCTCGCCCACAGATGTGTTGAGACCCGCCGGAGGTTTTGAGTGGTCGGATTTGAACCCAGGTCCTTTCTCCAGAGCTAAGCACTAAGGCCCTTCGAGGAGGTGGCCCTTGAATGTGGCAAGAGATTCTGAGAGGGAGGGGCAGATGCTGGAGAAGGCCTTGGCCTGTGTGTATGTTTCTGTACGTGTGTGTATGTGTGCCTGTATGTGTGCGCATGTGTATGTGCCTGTATGTGTGCCTCATATATGTGCCTGTATATGGGGGGGGTGCATGCACATGTGGCATATGTGTATGTGTGTCTGTATAAGTGTGCGTGTGTGTGCACGTGCTCATGGGCCCAGCCGCCCCCTGCTGGGCTCCCTGTGCACCGGGAGCATCTCCGTCCTGGGCCAGGAGGTGGCGCTGTTCCCCAGCATAAGTGGGGGGGGGGCACGGAAGGATGGGGTAGGATGTGGGAGGAGGGAGGAGGGAGGAGAGGGAGACAAGTCACGGTGCAGCCGGCATTGCTCCAGGCATGGACCAGGGCAGAATTGGAAATGTGCTTCTGCCAGATAACGAGGGTAGCTGGTGCCTGCTGCAGGCACAGAGGGAGCCCCCCTCCCAGCCCCCTCCTCACCTCCCCCCCCTTCCTCTCTGGCCTAGAAAGTGCATTAAAAATGCAGGATAGTGAAGGGGAGGGTGCCTGGGCTGCAGAGGGGAAGCCTCAGGAGTAGTTTCAAGGCCCCCCTTTCCCAGGGGTGGGGGCTGCTGGTCAGAGGGTGGAAAGGCCATTCTTGGGGGGGAGGGACAATCCTCTTTCTGTGAAGCAGCCGCTGGGTGGAGTGGGGGCTTCTTTTGCAAACTCCCCAGACAGTGGGGGCTCAAATGCCCAGCTTGCCTAGTGGAAAGATGTCCAGCTTCAGGGGGGCCCCATTGTGACCCAAGCTGTGCCCCTGCTGGGCCTGGTTGCATCCTCTGTAAAATGGACTGGAGGGCCTGCGAGGGCCCTTCCAGCTGCTCATCGAGGCTCCCCCAAGAAAGGCAGAAATGGGGCGGCAAGAAGGTGGCAGGTCCCCGCCTCTTGGCTCCATCAGGGCACGAGGCTGGCCATCAGGGGGCCAGCGGCCAGGCTTCTGCCAGCCTGTCCCCACCCTCACTCAGTTGTTCTCCCCGTGACCAGGCTGGTCCCCACAGCACGTTTTTACCCTCTGCGAATGCATTGCATACGGGCCCTGACGCTGCTCTCAGAAAGTACTGGCACCTTCATCCCCGTCCTGCCCTTCATCCTGGAGGTGAGTTCATCCTGGGCCCCTGCAGACGCTGCGACGGGCACCGTGACACTCAGACCTCAAGTGTAGGCAGTGAGGCCTGGGCACCCCCAGAGAGACAGGGGTGCCTGGTGGGCAGTGAGCGTGCATTCAGGTATGCCCGGCGGACACTCACAGATAGAGACATGGGCATCCGGCGGGCAGACCTGAATGCATGCTCCAAGGTCTGTCTAGGGCTCTTCTACTTTTGCCAAGTGGCCAGTTCTGGGCCCATTCTTTGCTCCTGTAGGTCGGGTGTCATGGGCCCAGGCGGATATCAATGGGGTTGGGTTCTTGGTGACCCAAAAAAAACCCTGTATTTCCATCTGGCCGGCATTGATTGAGGCTTTCCCCATGGCTCCTCACCCGCCAGGGCCTGTGGACGCCAGCCAACACAGCCCTGCCCTCCTCGTCTGCCCCCCGGCCCCCAGTGTCTGATGGTGATGGTGGCGCTTTTCCGGTGGCTTCCCATGCTTTGGGTGGGCGTGAGCCGCCATTCCCTTGGGACCGGGATCTGGTGCAGGTCTCTTGTCCTCTGCCCCAGCCTCTCCAGGCTCCAAGCCCCTCAGCACTGAGGTGGCCCCAGGGCCCGCTTGCTGGAAGGCCTATTGTGCACAGGCTGGGCATGCTGCCAGGGCTGCGGTCGGCCCCCGCAGGAAGCAAGGAGGGAGGGGGTGGGCGGCAGGGGAGGGGGAGAGCAGGCCAACCAAACCCCAGACTCGCTCCCCATCGGTTCTGCCGAGGCCTGAGCCCTTGTGGTTTCATGTTGTAAACGTCCGTCGGAAACCACATCCTCCCCGTTGGTGGGAGCCAGCAGCGCTGCCGCCGCGGCCACTGCCACTGGTAAATCTCCGACCTCGGGGGCCGTGGGCTCCTCTGGCACTGCCTGACCTCCCCCCCTGCCCGGCACTGGGTTTCTGGGGTCCCCGTCACTCTCTTTCTGCCTCGCCCTACCTGTCATCTCTCCTCTGACATGTGTTTCTAACCTGTCGACCTCAGGGCTCCCAGCAGGCACCGCAGGGCACAGGGAGCTTCCTTCCACAGCCTCCTGCCACATCCGTCATCGCCCCCGCCCAGGCACCTGGGTGTGGAGGTGGGCCCCCCCCCTTCCTCCCCCCAAAGCCCGCAGGCTCAGCCTCAGCGTCAGCATGATAAAGGGCAGAGCGGTGGCTCTGGGAATCGATTTATTATTAACTGGCCCTGCTGCTTTTCATTTAGTCTGGCCCAGCCCCCCTCCTGCAGCCAGGGAGGGGGTGGCTGCAGGAGGGAGCTCAGCTGGGGGTCTTTTCCTGCTTGGGGCCCCCTCCTCTGTGGCCTCCTTCCCCAAGAACATGCCCGTCCCTGGCCAGCTGCCGGCCCTTCTTCCTGTCTCACCCCCTCCAGAGTGGCAGCCTGGCTCTTCCGAGGGGGGCCTCGACCCATCCATGAGAGGCCTGGAGGAGGGATGGGGACAGGGCCGGGGGCAGGGCACAGGGCGAGTGAGCTGGCCAGGAGGCAGCGCCACTTCAGACAGCCAGACACCATCCTCACCCCCTCCACAGGCAGTGTGGTTCAGCGCAGATAGCGCCCCGACTTGGTGGTATGAGATGTGGCATTGAATCCTGCCCCGCCTGGTCCCTGCCTGGCCTCTGGCAGCCCATCCCCCTCCCTCAGCCTCGGTGGTGAAATGGGGATGATTCTAGCAGCTTCCTTCCAGGATAGCTGTGACAATCAGATGGAGCAGCCATGTGTTAAGCACTTTGTAAACCTCACTGGGCCAGGAGAGCCTTCAGTCCTCGGGGGTGGGGAGCGCCCAGCAGAAGCTCCACGTTGTGTTGAGTGGGGTCTTAGGCTCAACCCTGGAACCCACCCAATCTCCCTTTGCTCAGGCCCACTCCCTAGCGCCCTCCCTTTGCCCCCCTCTCCAGCTCCCTCCTCCTCCCCAGCTTCCTCCCTCTGTCTCCTTTCTCCTCTCCAGCTCTTTCCCTCTGCCTCCACCCCAGCTCCTTTGCCTCTTCCCCCCTTCCCAGCTCCCTCCCCATCCCCAGCTTCCTCCCTCTGTCTCTTTTCTCCTCTCCAGCTCTCTCTCTCTGCCTCCCCCCCCAGCTCCTTCCCTTTGCCCTCTTCCCCCTCCCCAGCTTCCTCCCTCTGTCTCCTTTCTCCTCTTCAGCTCTCTCTCTCTACCTCCCCCCCCAGCTCCTTCCCTTTGCCCTCTTCCCCCTTCCCAGCTCCCTCTCTCCCCCTCTCCAGCTCCCTCCCTCTGCCTCCCTTCCCCTCCCCAGCTTGCTCCCTCTGTCTCCTTCCTCCTCCCCAGCTCCCTTCTTCTCCCTCCCTGTGCCTCCCTCTCCCTCCCCTGCTCTCTCCCATCCCCTGCCATCCCCTCCTGGGTGACCCTGGGAGCCTGTCAGCGGCCGAGGACACAGGGGCCTGTCTGTTGAGTCAGCTGCCGCCTCTGATGCGGCGACCTGGGCGATCGATGCCATTTGGACGAAAGACATAATCGTGTATAACTAGGTTTGTAGCATTGATTATCCAGGTAGGGACGTTTAATTTTTTATTTCCACAAGCTGCTGAGAAAGTCACCCTCGCTCCCAGCTGATCCTCCACTGAGCGGGGTGGGGAGAGGCCAGAGGCCCCCCCAGCCCCCTTCCCTAGGAAGCCCCTGGGTGCCTCTTCCCCAAGGACCCAGGGAGTGTGGGGGAGCTTTACTCTGGTGACCATTATGACCGTAATCATGTGGTGATGATAGGCAGCACTCAGTGTTTGCAGTCACAACAACCCTGAGAATGCTGTTAGTAGGAAACTGAGCCAGACAGATATTAAGTGACCTGCCTGGGATCACATAACTAGGCAGGATTTGAATTCAGGTCCTCCTGAGTCCAGGCCCGGCACTGTGTACATTTCGCCACCAGCTGTCAACACAGTGGTGCTCGAGAGGAAGGCTGGAGGAACCGCTGTCTTTACTGTGGATTGTTGGAGCTATTGCAAGCCCCTCTGGTTCATCACAGCCCTTGGGAGAAGCCTGTGCTGCTTCTGTGTTGCTCCTCCAGCTCTTGGTTACCGTCTGGAGCTAGAGGAGAGTTCGGGGTTGGAGTGGGACGAGGGAGGGAGCTGGGTGACAGCCCGGAAGTAAGAGCAGGAACTTGGTGGTTCTGCTGCTGCCCGGTCTTGACCTGCCAGCCTCAGTTTCTCCCATCTGTCAAGTGAAGTATAAGATTAGGGCGGTGGGTGCCATGTACACCTAACCAGCTGTTCCGTGCCAAGACCAGCTGCAGTGTGTGCCTGGGGCTTGTGAAGGTCACAGTGTTCTTGGCCATTGGCACACCCGCGGATGGGGATGGTAGGGTTTCCAGGGCAGCCAGGCAGGGGAGTCGGCTGAGACCCCGTGGGAAACTCACTGAAAGGAGGGGCTGCCCCTTCTCCTGGGCCCAGTGTGCTGAGCTCGGGGGGGGGGGGGGACTGGGAGGCATTTGTTTTGTGGGCATATGGGTAGCGTAGTGGGAGAAACCTGGCACTGAGAGGTGTGTAGGAGGTCCTGTCTGTGCAGGCCTTCTGAGCTCGGGTCCTAGGGGCCGTCGAGGGCTGGAGGTGGAGACGGGGGCCCCATAGGGTCATGGGCACTTGGCTGTCCCTCCCGTCCTTCATCCTGCAGAGCAGCTGAGCGGAACGGCTCCCAAGCTCCTGGCTCCATCTCCAGGGTTGAGTTGGGTCACTGAGTATTGAACCTCTTTTACTTTGCAGATTTTCCATCAAGTTGACTTCAACAAGAAGCCTGGACGTATAAGCACCAAGCCCATCAACTTTGCTGTAATCCTAAAACTGTCAAACGTTAACCTGCAGGAGAAGGCCTACCGGGTAAGACCAAGTCCCCGGTGGAGCACAGAAAGGAGATGGGAAGGGAGATAAATGCAAAGTCCTCCCCTTGGGGTCAAAAAATCAACAGCATAAGTGTAGGACAGGGAAGGTGAAGCAGCCTTGGTGGAAAAGATCTGTGGCTCCTGGGGAGTGCGTACGTGCAGGGTGATAAGGCAGCGGACAAAGCTAACGTATCGTCAGTCATTGAAGGAGAGGCCTGGTGTCCAGGTCGGAGCACTGTGCTTGTTCGCTTCTGAAAGATAGCCGACTAGAGCCGGTCCAAGAGGTGGGATGGTCCTAGGCAAGTGTCAGTTGAAGATTTGGGAGGATGTTTAACCTGAATGTCAGCTGTCCTGATGGGTTTGGAGGGTGCTCCCATGGGCATGGGGCCTGGCTCGTTCTGCTTTGGGGGCAGGGGGGGCCAGTGAAGGCGTGAGCTGGTTCTAGATGGCCTCTCCATGCCGGCCTGGAAGGGGCTGCCCCTGGAGGTGATGGGTTCTGCCTCAGTGGTGGTCTCTGAGCAGAGGCTGGGGGGCATGACCGTCACCAGAGAGGCTGTCAGCAGGGTTTCTTGTCCGAGGCTAGGCATGGCCAGGTGGCTGCCAAGGCCCTTTCCAGCTTGGAGATTGGGTGGTCATGGCCAGGACCTGATGGGCAGTCGGTGCCAGGGCCCACCTTTGGGCAGCATAACAGGGAGTCGCTGTGCCAGGGATGTGGAGAAGAGTCAGGGACCGTGAGGATGGAGGGCATGTGGGTGTGACTGTCCAAAGAGGAGCTTCAGCTCCCACTGGCCCTGGCCGCAGGTGCCAGATTCCTCTCAGTGCCCAACATTTTGAGGGGCTAAGTGCCAGGGGCTGGGGGCCCAGAACACCCCTGCACCGAAGTGCACTGGGGGTGAGACAGGACCCCAAACCTCAGGCCCCTGCTCCCCTCCCTCTCCTGCCTTCCTCTTCTCCCCTCCTCCTCCCCTCCCCATGGGGCTGCCTCGGCTCCCCAGCCTCCTGGAGGCACCCACCGTCCTGGGGTGGGGGATGGAGAAGCGTGCCCAGGGCCGCTAAGCCCATCTCACCCACTGCCAGGATGGACTTGTGGAGCAGCTGTATGACCTGAGCCTGGAGTATCTGCACAGCCAGGCCTGCACCATCGGCTTCCCGGAGCTGGCCTTGCCCGCCATCATCCAGGTGAGGGGGTCCTGGGCCTGGGGTGGCTGGGGCGGGTGCGCTGGAGCCAAGGAGCCCTTCCACACCCCTGCACCAGGCAGGAGGCTGAGGCTAGGCTCCTTCAGTGGAAAGAGATTGAGCTGGCCCCAGGCCCTCCGCCTTCTCTGGCTGACAGGGAGCCAGCGGGGAAGAGACGTCTGACCCACCGGTGAACCCTGGGAGCAGGCTCCGCCCCAGGACCAGGCCAGCCAGGCCTCAGCTGAGGGATGGTGGCTGGACGGGCTTGTGGGAATCCAGCCTTGGCCTCCTTTGTTAATTGTTCTGTCCACAAGTGCCGATCAGACACCTCCCGTGTGCCGGGCACTGTAGAGTATGCCAGGTGCTGATGGTACAAGGAGAGAAGATGTGGCTGCCTGCCTTCTGGGAGCGCACCTTCTGATGGGGAGGCAAACGTGGGCACAGACAGAACAGTGAAGAGAGAAAGAAGGAGGTCGTTTTGTCCCCAGGGAAATGGCCCCTGGTCCTGCCTGTGGGCAGTGAAGGTCCTAGTTCCAGCGGTGGTCACTGAAGGCCGGAGGTGGGACGGCTGGACCGGGTGGCTCTGGGCTGGAGGCAGATGCTGGGGGAGGCCCAGCTCCCAATCCCTTCTTGCTGTGTAGACCAGGCTGGGGCCTCTGCTCTCCCTCTTTCCCAAAAAGGCCTGGGCCAGGAGCAGCCCCCACTGGGTTGTGCCCCTCCCCAGTACCTCTGTCTCCCCATCCCCATGTGGCTCACTCGCCCTATGTGTCTGTCTGCCCCCTCCTCTCCCTCACAGTTTGCTCAGCGCCCCAGATGTTTCCGATCACGGGGAGGCCCTGGGTCTCTTACAGGAAGGCGGCTGGCGGGGGGAGGGGGGCCGCCTGCGGTCCCTGCTGGCAGCGGCTGTCAGTGTTTAGCCCTGGCAGGCCGACAGAGTTGATGCCGCTAATGACAGGTCTGCCCAGCGGGGAGAAGGCGCACACTAATTACACACACACACACACACACACACTCACACTCACACTCACACACGTAGGCCGTCATTACAGTCTCTCACATTTCCAGTCACACAGAGACAGACGGTATTGTGCTCTTCCCTCCCCTTCCCTTTCTCTGTCTGTGTCTGTGTCTCTCTCTCTCACACACACACACACACACGCGCAGTCATTACAGTCTCTCACATACCTGATAGCATTTTCTACCAGTGACCAGCCCCCAACCCCAGGGGCCACAGAGCCGCAGCCTCAATCAGGCAACCAGCAGTTCAGCACCTGCTATGTGCCAGGCCTGTGGCCTTAGGCCCTGGTTGTAAAGACAGACATGAACCAGCTCCTGCCCTCCCGAAGCTTATGTTCTGTAAGGGGAAACAGCACGTCCACCTGTCTAGACAGAGGTCCTGCTGGTTCCAGGTGGGCAGGGGCCCTAGGAGCCAGGGCCAGGCCTGTGTCTGAGCTGAGCTTTGAGAGATCCTGAGGCATGGGGCCTGTTGGGCCTTGGGGAGGCCTGTGCCAGGGTCCAGGGGCAGGGAATGCAGCCTCTCCAGTGCAAGGGGGAGGGCCAGGAATACTGGGAAGGCAGGAAGTGTCAGCTCCTGAGCGTTTTGGGTCCTAGTGGTACTAGGCAGCCACGTGGGGGGGGAGGTTCTCAGAAGGCAGACCTGCTCACAGGCCCCTGAGGGGTGCAGGGGTGAGGTGACGAGGCCAGGCCGTCAGGGCAGCTGTCCTTGGGGACATCTGATGGGAGGTCACTGGGCCTGTGACCCTGGGGTCCCAGGAGGAGTGCGGTGCCCTCCACTCTGAGAGGCTCTAGCTGAGCAGCCCCAAGCCTGGCCCCTGTAGAAGGTCGGTAGGAAGAGTGGGCCTGTGTACAGACCCTGGTGTGTCTGGGCTGTGGTGGGCATTCCTAGGGCCCGGT